CTCCTGTCTCGCCCGCTGCTCCCCTCAGCAGTGTATTTCAGTCAATCTGCCAGTTCTGTTCCCCTCTCTGTCTCTGATGAATCCTCCTCCCCCCACCCCGCGTCTCTGGCCTGTAACCCCAACTCTTGTATGCATAAATAAATAAATCTTTTTTTTTTTTAAAGTGTTGAACAAAAAACTGTTAACAGAGATTTTTATATCTGGCAAAACTGTTCTTTAAACATGAGGAAGAAAGTAAGACATTTCTTGATTTAAAAGAAGTTAAGGAAATTTGTTACCGCTTAAATCTGCCCTTATGAAATGCTAAAAGAAATCCTTCAGGTTGAAATGAAATGAAAGGATGCTTGAAAGTAGTATGAAGCCATATGAAGAAATGACTATCCCTGGTAAAGATAAACACTTTGGCAATTATAAAAACAAGTATTACTACAATTATGGTTTGTAATGCCACTTCTTATTATCTACATAATTGAAAAAACAAATGCCTAAAATATAACCCATAGTTTTGGGCACATACTGAATAAGGATTAAGACTATAATATTAATAACAGAAAAAGGGAACAGACCTGTATATGTGAGTTTTTGTATGAAGTTGGTATTAATTCAATTAGACTGTCATAACTTTTGACTGTAAAATGTAATTCCCATGGCAACCATCAATAAAATATCAGAAGGAAATCGGTGAATCGGAATGGTTTACTAAAAAAAAAAAAATTTAAGTAAACACAGAAAAAAAGCAGTAACAGGAAATAAAGGATACAAAAATTATAAGGCCTATGGCAAACAAATAGCAAAATGGTTGAAATAAGTCCTTCCTTGTCAGTAATTACTTTAAAAGTAAATGTCATGAACTCTCCAATCAAAAGACAGAGATAGGCAGAATGGATTTTTCAAAATTAGCCAATTGCATGCAGTCTAGAAGAAACGCACTTTAGCCCCAAAGATAAAATGGTTAAAAAAAAAAAGATTTCACGTAAATAGTAATCAAAAGAAAAGTGCTGGTTGTACAATACACTCATACAAAATAGGTTTAAAAAAAAGTTGCAAGAGACAAATGACATCATATATTAGGTTGTATAAAGATAGTGTAATAATTATAAACATTTGCACACCTAGTAACAGATGCTCAAAACACATGAATCTTGGACAGGAATCTAAGAGAGGAATACAAGTAGGTATATGATGCTTCTCAAAAGTTTGCATTATGCTACTTTGTTTTTATGAAAGACCTGCATTAGTATGTCTTCACTAACTGAAAGAAATCTAAAGATGTTCACTTTTGATTTAGTTGCCAAAGGTGTTCTGCAGGGAGCCTCTGCAGCAAGCATTTACAGAGGCAGCACAGAGCCTGAGCACCAAGTACTCAAGCACTTGAGTACTACCAAGCTTCTTCCCTAATAAAGAATTTACACAGAGGCCTCCCTGGTGGTGCAAGGGGTTGGGATGCAACCTATGAAGCTATCCACAGCCACTGCAGCACTAGTTTGATCCCCAGCAGACCTCTCCTGTCTTGCCCACTGCTCCCCGCAGCAGTGTATTTCAGTCAGTCTGCCTGTTCTGTTCCCCACTCTGTCTCTGGTGAATCGTCTCACCTCCACGCCTCTGGCCTGTACTCCAGTGCTTGTATGCATGAATAAATAAATCTTAAAAAAAAAAAAAGAATTTTACACAGGCTGTGTTTATCATGTCATTCCTGCTTTAATAGTATTATTTTAGATCTATATGTTACTTAGCATGATCTGGTTTATTGTTTTTGGGTCTAGAAACACTAAAATTTTTCCTTATAAATGGGTAATAATTGCTTCTTCGCGGATGCCATTTCAGTTCATACATGGTTTTATAGGAATTCTCTACTTTTGGATAATGGGAGAAACCTGTAAATGATTTTATAATAACAGGGAGACTTCAATATCCCGTTTTCAATAGTGAATACAATCACCAGTTAGAAGATAAGTACTTAAATAGAGGACTTGAGCATCACAATAAAATAATTAGACCTAAGAGACATACACAGAACATTTCACCCAACAACAGAAGAATAAACATTCTTTTCAAGTTCATATGGGACATTCTCCAGGATGGCCATATGTTAGATTTCAAAACTAGTCTCAAAAGATTAAAAGAAGAGATATTAAGAATCTTCAACCATAATGTGATGCAGTTAGAATAGGTAACAGAAGGAAAATGGGAAAAATCACAAATATGTGGAAATTGAACAACATGCTCTTATTAAACAACTGATGGGTCAAAGAAGAAATCAAATGGGAAATTAGAAAGCAATGAAATAACATACCAAAACTTACAGGATGCAACAAAAGCAATGGTCAGAAGTAAAATAATAGTTGTAAATGGCTACAATAAAAAAAGAAGAAACTTTCAAAGCAGCATCTTAGCATTATGCCTTAAGAAATTGAAAAAAGAGGGCCTCCCCGGTGGCGCAGTGGTTGAGCTCTGGGTTGCAAAGCTGCCTGCATCCTCTGTGGCGCCGGTTCGTTCCCCGGCTGCTCCCCCGCCACCAGAGGAGGGTCCCACATGGCGCGCAGACCTCTCCTGCCGCCCGCTGCTCCCCTCAGCAGTGTACTTCGGTCCTTCTGCCTGCTCTGCTCCCCGCTCTGGCTCTGGTGAATTCTCTCACCCTCCCGTGCTTCTGACTGTACCCAGTGCATGTATAAACAAAAACAAACAAATAAATAATAAATAAATAAAAAAACATGCCTCTATAAAAAAAAGTTTAAAAAAAAAAAAGAAATTGAAAAAAGAAGTGCAGCAAACAAAAAGCTAGCAGAAGGAAGGAAATAGTACAGATTAGAGTGCAGATAAACAAAATAGAATAGAAACAGAGTGGGTAACAGTCAATGAAATCAAAAGCTGTTTCTTTGAAAAGATCAACAATATCAACAAACATCTAGCTAGACTGACAATAATAGAGAATATGCAAATAACTAAAACAAGAAAGGAGAAGACATTACTTCCACTATTCCAGAGATAAAAGGAATTATAAAGGAAAACTATGAACAACTGTATGCCAATAATATAGAACATAAAAGACAAATTCTTTGAAACTCAAAATTACCTAAACTGATTTAAAAATAGAAAATCGAAGCAATTTACAACAAGAGAGATTGATTAACCAAAACAGCCCAACATCAAGCCATCCTGCACCAGATGGCTTCACCAGTAAATTGTACCAAACTTTCCATAATTAACACTAATCTTTCTCAAACTCTTCCAAAAAATTGAAGAGGGAATGCTTCCAAACTCATTCTATGAAGGCTTTATGACCCTCATGTCAATCAGATGAACCCAAGTAAAGAGAATTAGAACCCATTATTTATTAATATAGATGTAAAAACCCTCAATAACATATGCAGATCAAATCTAAAAGCATATTTTTAAAATAAATAAAGGTATGTTAAAAGAATCACCATGACTAAATGGGATTTATGCAGAAATGCAAGTGTGTTTTAACATGAAATAGATCATTGTAATATATCACCTTAATAAAATAAGGGGGTGGGGGATAAGCATCTCAAATGACACCAAAAAAAGGCATTTGACAGAATACAATAGACTTATGAGATCTCAAAAAATTATAAAAAATTCCTCAAAATAATAAAGATATTAATGAAAAACCCACAGTTAACATCATACTCAATACTTCAAGGTTCCTCTCTAAGATCACAAGTTAAGAATGCCTACTTTCACTGTTGCTGTTCTACACTGTACCACATGTTCTAGCTAAAGCTATTAGACAAGAAAAAGGAACAAAGGTATCCAATTTGGAAAGAAGAGGTAAAACTATCTCTATTCACAGACAACATGATTATACATAGAAAAATCTCAGACTCCACAAGAAATTTACTAGAGCACATAAAGTCACCAAAGTAGCTGGATATAGGGCCAACACACAAAAATCAGTTTTGTTTCCTACATACCACGGAAAGGAAATTAATACAGCAATTCCACTTACAATAGGATCAAAATACCCTGAAAATTAGAAAACAGCTGAAAAGTTAATGAAGACCTAAGTACATGGAAATATTCCACATTCATAAACAGGGAGATCTAAAGTTAAGATGACATTATTATCCAAAGTGATCTACAGAATCATTACAATCTCTATCAAAATTAAACAGCCTTTTTTTTTCTCTCAGAAACTTTAAAGCTGATCTTCAAATTCTTATGTAATTTCAAGGACCACCAACAGCCAAGATAAACATGATAAATACTAATTTTGGCCAACTCAAGACTTCTTGACTTCAAAACTTACTACAAAGATACAGTAAAAGACTATGGTACTAGCATAAGGCTAGACATTTAGTCCAATATAAAGGAATAGAGAGCCCAGAAATAAACCCTCATACGTATGATCAGTTCAACAAAGGTGCCAAGACCGCTAAACAGGGAAATCAGTAATATTCAACAAATGGTGTTGGAAAAACCATACAAACATGCAGAGAATGAAGTAGGGTGTAGCAACAGCGACGGCTACATATCATGAAGGTACTTAACGCCAACTGAATTCATATTTACATATAATTAAGATGAGAAAAACTATTTTTTTTAAATGCAAGAACCGCCACTTTCCCTCAAAAAGAAACAGGGAGACCACAGCAGCAACTGCATTGGTGAGAAGGAAAAGGACTCCAGGATGCTACTCAAGTTTTCGGCTGGGCATCATCCACACGGTGGATGACACAAGGACTACGGGAACTACAGAGAAGCAGCTCTGCAGATGAGCCTGGGCTAATGAACAGGTACATTAAACCTCGGGACCAGCCACTGGACAGGTCTCCCAGGCAGTGGGCCCAGGAGCTCGGAAGAGCTGTCTGGGGTGGCGAGAGATCTGTGGCTGGTCAGCCCGTCGCAGCTAGCGGAAGCATCGGGAAGGCCAGCGATCCCTGGGAAACACCAAAATCCCAAAGCGAGGAGAGAAACCCGCCTGCGGCTTTTCGGGCCCCAACGCGGTGAGTCCACATCCCGAGGCGGGAGGGACTTACCGAGGCTTAAGTGCAGAGGCGCCCTTCAGGCCCACGCAGGCAGCGGACGGTGCAGGCCCAGCTCAGAGCAGCCGCTGCGCTGACCCGGGGCGCAGCGCGCAGGGCCCGAGGGACGGACGCCGGGGAGCCGCGGCACCGCGGGGTGGCCAGCGCGGCCGCTCGCAGCCCGTCGCCCGAGCACCCAGTCGGCGCCCGCCCACCGCGCGGAGAGCCCCTCGCCCCGCCCCTGTCGCGGTCCTGGCCCCGCCCCTGCCGCGGTCCTCGCCTTTCGATTGGCGGGAAGGGCCATGGGACCCGGAAGTTGTCTTTGTCCGGCGAGGGCTGCCCTTCCGGTTCCGTCGGGTCCCCCTTTGGCTCGGGTTCCCTGCCCCTCCCCCTTCCCGGAGCCCCGAGGGGCCGGAGCTCCTGGCGGTGCCGGATCCAGAAGGCGGCCTTCCCCCGGGTCTGTAAGTGCGGAGGCGGCCCGAGCGCCGGGCTGGGGTTCGGGGTCTCTCAAGATGGAGCCCCCTTGGGGCCCTGGATTGGCCGGGACCTGGACTGGGATGGGGGCCGAGGGGCTGGCCTAGGCCCGAGGGGACTTCAGGAGCCCTTGGCCCGGCCCACAGCGCGCCCCGCCCCTTTCGCTTCCCCGCGCCGGGAATGGGGAGTCTAAAAATTTAGCCTTAGGGACCTTCTCTTGGGACCCCAGCCTAGGGCCCCACACTTGACTCGACGCCCAACTCTGGCATCTTTAGGAAGTGCCAGAGCTGAAGTCCTGGCAAGGCCTCAGTGCCAGCCCGCGAGAATCACTAGGAATGCTGACCTAGGTTACCCTTTCACAGGGGTTTCCCCTAAATTGGCTCCTGGCCACATCACCTTTTATGTTGCCTGCGCTCGGCCACGCACTGGGGATCCGTAAGATGCCGTTCCATATTTCAGGGTCCAGGGAACCAGATAGAATCAAAGAAGTGCTTCTTCGACATGTGTATCAGCCACATGTGCGTGAACTGTCCAGGGGGAACTTGCTGGGAAGGCTGAAGAAAGACAGTGACTTCTGAGTTGTACTTTTTGCAGAGAATAAGGTGGAGAAGAGCTTTTCAGGTAGAAGAAACAGTTGCAGTTCTGGGAAGAAATGACTGAGCACAACTAGGTGAAGAAGAGAAAGTGTGGGGTTCCTGTGCATCGGATGAGATGTGAGGGTAGGAAGGAAGCCTGAGAAGATTTAATCCTAAAAGAGATGAGTAGTTTTTGAAGAGTTTTGAGCAGGAATCTGATATGGGCAGATTTGCACTGTAAAAAGACGTGTTGTTTTGGAGATAAGCCTATAGAAAAGGATTTCTTTAAACTGATTCTGGACTTAAAGTCTAGGTACTGTTTTGGAATAATGGGGTCCACCTAGTGAGAGGTAATGAAGGCCTGACGTGAAGTTATGACATTGTTATTGGAAAGACGGCAAGAGTGCTGGAGTGATTGGTGCAAAGACTCCATGGTAAATTAGATGTTAAGGGTGAAAGTGGTACCAAAGCTGATTCCTAGGTTTTAGACCTTTGGTATTTGAAGAGTGTCTGCTATTATCAGCTGTAAAGTGATAAACGTAGTGTAAGTTACAAATTTGTTTTCGGGAATAGCCATATGGAACTGTCCAGCAGAGAATTGGAAATGGAAATCTGCAGCTCAGCCTAAATGTTGTGACTAGAGTTTTGAGTCATCAGTGTAGAGGTGGAAGTAAGCCATGGGAATAGCTGGCTTCAGGAAGAGTATTGAGAAAAATGGGCTTATGTGTGGGGAATGGTTTCACTTGTGAAACAGAAGGAGGAATTGGAGCCAGTAGTAGTTGGTATAGAAGCAGAAGCAGAGATGGAGAATAAAGTATAAGAGTGCAGGGTTACAGCAACCAAGAAAAAGAAATCTAGAGAGAATTTTGAGGTGGTTCCACTGGGATGATTTATGTGAAGCATTTGGAGAATGAGAATAAAATGTACTTCTTTATTAAGGGAATGTTAGTGACCTTTTAAAAGTCAATTTTAGTAGAGCTAAGAGGTGATAAAATATATAAAGGAGACTTCAAGTGGTTTGGTGTTAATTAAGAATGAGAACGTCCAAATATGATAATTTCACAAAGAAAACTGACAGATTATGGTGCTTTTTGTTTGTTTTTTACATTTTAAAAGAACAGGATTTTTAGAAAGAGGAGAAAGAGAAAGGAGACACCTGCATAGACACAGGTGGGCAGAGAGCTACCGCTGCTGCTACTTTGCCCAGATTTTGTTTGTTTATCAGCAAATGCTGTGGAGCACTTTCCAAGCACTATTCTTAGCTCTTTAAAAAAATTAATTTTAAAATTTAACTTACTTTAAAAGTTAATTTCCCATAACAGCCCTTTGAAATAATGTTACTAATGACAGATGGAAAACCTGAAAAGCAGATGTTTTAAATAACTTGCCCAAGGTCACGGAGCTAGTAAGTGGTTGCGCTGGATTTTGATCCTAGAAACATGACTCCTGAATCCATGGTTTTACCCACTGCACTAGGCAGTGACTGAATTTGGGAGTCAAAGGAGTAAGAAAATTTTAGGAAAGATAGGATCATTGATTAAAAAATGAAAGGCTTGGAAGGAGATCCAGATTGAGAAGAAGGTAAGTAATGGATTTATGTTTGTGTTGTTTATTTGTTTTTTATTTCTTCCCTTCTTCAATCCCTTTCCAATCTGAGCCATTTTAGGTCAGTTTCTTCCACAATTACATCAATTTATGTCATGCTTTTATGTATCACTTTCTATAATCAGGTCTCCTCTTCAGCTTCAGACCCACATCCAGATGAGGAATGCATTTTCCCCTTGATGTCATGCGGGTTTATCCAGATCCATGATGCTTCCAGTATCCTCTAGCTTATTGAATGATACTCTGTCAAAAGATATCCGGTCTCGCAAACCAAATTCCTTGATGTCATCTTGACCTTTCCTCTCTTGTTCCTCACTTTGGTCACTAAGTCCATCAGTTCTTTGTTTGAAATATCTCTGGAATCTCTTTCTTCTCTCCATACATGTAATTGTTGTTTCTCCCAGGCCCTCATCAATACCCTCTTAATCTGTTAACGTATACTAATGGTTTCCTTGTCCACTGTTCTCAACGCCATTCTCCATAAATTTTTATCTTTTAATTATTGAGTTTAAGACAGTGCAAGATTAGGTATCATGCATTTCAAGTGATAGAATAGTAGCCTCAAGCAGGAATTTTGAATAGCTTGAATTGAGACTGAGTTTAAGGTTGGAAATTTGTGAATTTTTTAAAGAAAGGAATAAGACATTGAGAAACCAGATGGTGTTTTTGAGAAAGTAAGCCTTGAGAAAACAGTAAAAAGTGAAGGACTAAGCTTGGAAGGATATAACAATCTTTACACAATGTAGTGAACCTTCAAGGAACAGACTAACAGAAGAATGGTGGAAAACTGAAGCCTGTAGTTAAGCATCCTGCCCACTTTTGTACAACAGTTTGAAAAAACTGAACTCAGTCTGTATTTATGCAACATCAATAGCTCTTAAAAGCAATAAATGGGAAGAGAAAGTTGTAAAACAATATGTATAGTTTATATATAAGAAACCATTTTATATTTTCTGTGACTTGGTACTGGTACTTAGCAATATATTTTTTTAAAGATTTATTTATTTATTTATACAAGCACTGGGTACAGTTAGAAGCATGGGAGGGTGAGAGAATTCACCAGAGCCAAAGCAGGGAGCAGAACAGGCAGACTGATGAAGTACACTGCTGAGGGGAGCAGCGGGCGCAGCAGGAGAGGTCTGCTCGCCATGTGGGACCCTCGCTGTCAGCGGCGCTGCAGAGGCTGCGGGCAAATTCGCACCCGAAAGTGGGGAGGAGGAGAAGCAAAAGGAGTGAGAATCTTGAAGGATAAGATTTAGAACAAACTTGACCACTTTGTGGAAGGTGGTTGGGAAAGAGGACTAATTTATAATATTCAACAATTTTTCAGGACGAGTTTATTTCTTTCCTTTTGGTTTTTTTTTTAAAGATTTATTTATTTTTATACAAGAGCTGGGGTAGGACAGAGGTGCGGGAGGGTGAGAGGATTCACTGGAGACAGAGCAGGGAGCAGAACAGGCAGACGACAGAAATACACTGCTGAGGGGAACAGCTGGGTGACAGTTGAGGTCTGTGGCACCATGTGGGATTCTCGGCGGCCGGCTGGGACTGAACCGGAGGCTGCGGACAGCTTCACAGCACAGCACTCAACCCACTGCGCCACTGGGGAGGCCCACAAGTTTATTTTTGTATATATTACTTGCAAGTAAAAATAAAAACAAACAAGAGAGAGAACTTAGAGAATCTATCGTCGTGCAAGTTACTCAAAAGAAAAGAATGAGGCTTATAGAAAGAAAGGTTATGGTATAATGCAGTCTCTATTAAAAGTGGCACATAATGTTTGTGAGTGCCACAGAAAGATTTCCTTGTTGCTGTGAGTGCTAAGTTGAAAGATTAGGGACTTTTATGAGGTAGACGAGAAAACAGACAGACTTACAGCTTAGGAGTTCATTATTGGGAACGGAAAAGTTTTCCTTATCAGAAGTTATTAGAAGCATTTGAGATAAGAAACTTGGATATTTTCTCACCACTCATAGCACAGCTATGAATATTGTTCAACCTAGAAGATTCACAAATATTTTCTGGTCACTCCTCTTTGAATAAAAGGAATAAAAGGAAATTTTCAAAACAATTGGCGTTTTTGGTATAGAAATAATTATGGAAGAATCACATAAATATAAAGAGAGAAAGTGATCTGGGTCATTGAAAACATGCTAATAAAAACTTGGCAGGATTCAGACATACTTGCAGTAAACTAGGTAATAGATGATAAGGACCTGGATGGAGGCAACAACGGTCAGATTAGAGAGAGACAGTCTGGAAATGGTTCTCAGGGAAGAATCAACAGAATATGGTGACCAACAGTCTATGCTAACTCATGGGGTCTTTACTTTCTTGAATTTACTTACTAGAAGTTCTGCTATAATCTAGAATTACTTGAGTGGTTTTTATGAAAGTGATAGAATAATTACCACTGTGTTTCAAAGTTACCTGTAATTGAGGCTTCCGAAATTAAATATATTTAGAATTCTTCCTTTTACTTTCATTTGCAAGTAGCATTGTTTCCCTCTACAAAAAAAAAAAAAATACACAAAAGATGGGAAAATATTGTAACATTTAAATAGGTGAGAAAATGGGGCCGCCATGGGGCCTCAGCGGTGGCGCAAGGGGTTAAGACACAACCTATGAAGCTGTCTGCATCCACTGCAGCACGAGTTTGATCACTGGTCAGCCAGGGAGCTACCCACATGGCGCAGCAGACCTCTCCTGACTCGCCCACTGCTCCCCTTAGCAGTATACTTCGGTCAATCTGCCTGTTCTGTTCCCCACTCTGTCTCTGGTGAATCATCTCACCTCCACACCTCTGGCCTGTACCCCAGTGCTTGTATGCATAAATAAATAAATCTTTAAAAAAAAATAAGTAAGTAGGTGAGAAAGGAAGGTAAAACAAGAGGGAAATTAAATGCAATCAGAAATATGACTGATCTAGGTAACACAAATTTGGCTTTAAAATTTGTACAGGGGCCTCCCCAATGGTGCAGCGGTTGAGCGCTGGGTTGCGAAGCTGCCCGCAGCCTCTGCAGCGCCGGTTCTATCCCCGGCTGCTCCCCGGCCACTGGGCGAGGGTCCCACATGGCATGCAGACCTCTCCTGCCGCCCGCTGCTTCCCTCAGCAGTGTACTTTGGTCCTTCTGCCTGCTCTGCTCCCCGCTCTGGCTCTGGTGAATTCTCTCACCCTCCCGCGCTTCTGACTGTACCCAGTGCTTGTATAAATAAATAAATAAAATGTTTAAAAAAAAAAAATAAAAAAAATAAAATTTGTACAGGGCCTCCCCCGTGGCGCAGTGGTTGAGCGCTGGGTTGCGAAGCTGCCCGCAGCCTCTGCGGCGCCGGTTCGATCCCCGGCTGCTCCCCGGCCACCGGAGGAGGGTCCCACAGGGCGCGCAGACCTCTCCTGCTGCCCGCTGCTCCCCTCAGCAGTGTACTTCAGTCCTTCTGCCTGCTCTGCTCCCTGCTCTGGCTCTGGTGAATTCTCTCACCCTCCCGCGCTTCTGACTGTACCCAGTACATGTATAAACAAACAAACAAATAAAAATAAATAAAAATGTCCCAAGTCTAGTGCCTCTTTTAAAAAAAAAAATAAATAAATAAATAAAATAAAATTTGTACATTTTGTTTTTAAATATAAACCTTTTGTTGAGCATGACCAAAACACAGATGATATAAATTACAAGTGTACAGCTGAATAGATCTGAGGAGGCAAATCTGAACAGCTACACAGCTAACGTTATCCACAAGATAAAGCTTTAGCTATCCTAGTTTTTATATATGTGTATTTGGCATCATGCAGCTTGGACAAAAGTTCTAGCCCTAACACTTAACAGTTTCTACCTCTCTTAAGTTGAGCAGGTTATTGATATTCTCCAGGCTTGAGAGTTTCCTCATGTACAAAGTGGGGATGATGATAATACCACTTCAAAAGAAATTTGAAGATTAAGCCAGACAATTTAGATAAAGCATTTGTGTCCCTGCAACACACAAAGGACTCAGTAAAGAATAGCTGCCATTTCTCTTATTTTTAAATAAAATAATTCAGTTCATAAGAAAAAAAAAAAGAAAAAAGCAATTGTTCCTTTTTATTTTGACATTTTTAAAGACTAAAAAAAGTGTGTAAAATTTGGTCTTGTATTGTCAAAACTGGTTTATAAACAAATAGATCATGAAAATGAAGAATATCTTTAACATAACCCAGTAATCGTTTCCTAGGGAACTTGAGGAGTTAATTATTTTGCTGTTTATTGTTGAATGATTGTAAAATGCTAAAGTTGGTCCTTACCCTTAAATAAGTAGCAGTCTGTTAGAAAGAGAAACTAGGGACAGGAAACAATTAAGTATAAACTATGTGGCCTGGAACTAAGAGCTTTTTAAGAGGAGAGGATAGAGCAGCTCATATTAGGGGAAACTTCGTGAGATAAACATAATAAATTTTCCTCACATTCTGGGACTACAGCAGACAAATCAAAGCAAGCCCTTTCCTAGGATACCTGTTTGGCAGCTCCTGGTAAGTTTCCGGAGACTGATGGATGGGAAGTAAATGAGACCAGACCTCAGTTCCTCCTCTTTGGGGCCTCAAGGAACAATTATCCCTGAGAGCAGTTGTCTGTAGCATCATGAGTGCTTGCACACCACGGGTGGAAACAATGCACATCTTGGGATGTGAGTAGGAAAATACTGACCCTAGGGTAGATTGCGGACAAACTAAACTCTAGAGAAGAATGCCCCTTTTGTTTAGTCACTGCAAGCAAGTCATTTTTATAACGTTGCTTATGAATCAGGACGTTCGAATACATTAAGCTATTGTAACTGCTAAAACTGAATCGGTGATGATGTAGTTTTGCGTTGTAGGTCCTAGGTTTTTAGTTTTTGATAGTCACTATCTTAATGCTACATTTGCTTCTCTTACATCCCTCCTCAGTGCATTATCTGTACATTCAGAATGCCACACAAACTTAAAATTTATGCATGTCTATTTTTGTTAATATCCGTGTGCTATTACAGATCCCCCTCTCATTTTCATCTCCTTTGATGATGGTCTCGTTCTGCTGAGTTCCTAAGTTGAGAACCTTTGCACATTCCCCCCTTTTTTTTTTTCATTCTCTGTATCCAGTCAGTTGCCAAGTTCTTTGAAGTATCTCTGATTTTTCCTTGCTCCTTACCCCATTTCTATTCCTTTCTAGGCTCTCATGATCTCAGACCTTTAATGCCTCTGCAGTTGAGCTGCTCTTCCTAACAGCTATTCTTCCTTCTTACCGCTGTCAAGCAGATCCTCTAGGTTCAACAAATGCAAAATGACCACCTGCCATATGTTTTGTAGAATATTAAGGGATGGGGAATACACATCAGTTTGAATGGCCAAGGGTTTGGCCAGTAATGTTGCTTCAGTAAGTGGAATTGGAAGCAAAAGCAAAGAATGGAGACATTTCCCTCTAATGCCACAAAGCTTAAGTTTGAATGGGAAGAAACTGTTTCATGAAGTATTTTGAGTGTTGTGATAGATTTACTATGATATGGGTCCAGTAGAGACAACTGTTCTAGTTTAAAGAGTAGAGAAGGATCTCTCAGGAAAATCAAGGAGTCAGAATGGGCTCAGAACTAGTATTCTAAAGAAATCAATGTGTCAAGCCTTGGAGCCAGTAGGCACTGTCATTTGCCAAGCACTGAGAAGTGTGAGTAAGACCTCCATTCTGACTTCCGGGCTGGTGTTCTGTGAGCCTCTCTGTAAGTCAGTGTTATAGAAGATAGGATTATAAAGATTGGCCTTTGGGATCCAGGTGTGGCCGAGAGCAACTGGCTGTCTCATTCTCAGCTATGGAGTTAATGAGTCCACAAAGTTCAAGGTGAATCTGTTGGTGCACTGAATGTTACACCTTCTAATCTCACAGAAGACTGCTATATTGACAGGGTGCCAACTGAATATTTTCACAATCACTGGCTGAACTGGAGTTACTACATTGGCATGGCTAATTTATCCTTCCCTTTCGAGAGGCACATGGGGAGCCAAGTCTTGAAAGTCATTTGACAGCATGAAATCAGAACATGGGGATTTTCTTCTCCAAAGGAATTGATAGATAAAGGGGAAAATATACAGACATTTTTGGCAAAGACTTCTCAGTGGGTGAGTGACTTCTGCTGATGTTTATCTTATTTATTGTTAGGTTTACTTCATCAGTTTATCCTCTGGAGGTTAGTCTTCATGGAGGAGACAATGGGAAGTCACAGAGGGATTTTAGGCAAAGGTTTGGTATATTCAGATCTGTGTTTTAGAAAGATAATATGAAGTTTTATGTTAAAGGTGGATTAGAGAAAGTTGAAGCTGGAAGCCAAGGAAGCATTCATGAATCGGTGGTCCAGATCATGAGTAATGATAGATAAATAGGAATAAAGAGCAGAATCTAGTTTGGGATTAATTAATTCGGTCCACTCTGCTCCTACTGAGATTCCTACCAAGTGGCTTATGTGATTTTTCTCTATCAAATGTTTTATTTACTTTCTATATCAAGAAACATTCTTAATAGAGAGTTTGGATTTGTCAAGAATGCAAAGGATAAATAGCTATGCTTTTAATACTGTTTAAAGTTGTCCCTTAGGCCTGTGGCTTTTGTTTTACTGCAAAAATACTTGGATGGCTACGTTTACTTCAGTTTAAACAAGAGACGGTTTACCCAGGATCGGGACAAGCAAACTCACTGTTCTTTAAAATACAAAGAAAGGAAAAGCGTGTTTTGTCTTAGAAGAAAAAGCAGCTCACAGTATCATGTAAAAGAGAACAGTTACTTCATTATTACTCATTGGTATGTTTTAGTTTATTTTTGAAACCTGATAGGAGTCTCTTAAGAAGTGAAAATATGTTCCTGGAGTAGCTCAAGCACTGTTCTTGTATCAAGTATCTTAAAGAATTGAATAAATGCCAGACTATTAACACGATTCAGGTCCACTCCCTAGGTGCAGTTCACACTTGATGTTGGTAAGGAGTAATTTTTAACAGCCTCTGGAAGCTGTTTTAATAGCTTCCTCTTTCAAGGAAGATTTTATTAGGATACATACAGTTATGACAACACAAATTTGTTTTTTGGAAGGAAAATCCAGGTTTCTTAATTGTTTTGAATTTTCTTAAATTCATCCTTTTTACATTTCTGTTCTTTAGGTCTGCCAAAATGTCTGAAAGATCAGATTTCCTTCACTTCAAGTTTGAAAATTATGGAGATTCAATGTTACAAAAAATGAACAAATTAAGAGAAGAGAATAAATTTTGTGATGTTACAGTTCTCATAGATGATATTGAGGTCCAGGGGCATAAAATTGTGTTTGCTGCAGGTTCCCCCTTCTTAAGAGACCAGTTTTTACTGAATGATTCCAGAGAGGTGAAAATCTCCATATTGCAGAGTTCCGAAGTGGGCAGACAATTGCTCTTATCCTGTTATAGTGGTGTGCTGGAATTCCCTGAGATGGAACTGGTAAATTACTTGACTGCTGCGAGTTTTCTTCAGATGAGCCACATTGTAGAACGGTGCACGCAGGCCTTGTGGAAGTTTATAAAGCCAAAACAACCAATGGATAGTAAAGAGGGATGTGAACCACAGAGTGCTTCTCCCCAGTCAAAAGAACAGCAGGGAGATGCCAGAGGCTCCCCAAAGCAGGACTCACCTTGTATTCATCCATCTGAAGACAGTATGGATATGGAGGACAGTGATATTCAGATTGTTAAGGTAGAGTCTATTGGGGATGTATCAGAGGTTAGAAGTAAAAAAGATCAGAACCAGTTTATTTCTTCTGAACCCACTGCTTTACATTCATCTGAGCCCCAGCACTCCCTGATAAATTCAACTGTGGAAAACAGAGTAAGTGAAATAGAACAAAACCATCTCCACAATTATGCCCTCTCTTACACAGGCAGTGATAACCTCATCATGGCCTCTAAAGATGTCTTTGGGCCTAATATTCGAGGTGTAGACAAAGGCCTACAATGGCATCACCAGTGCCCAAAGTGTACCAGGGTGTTTCGTCACCTGGAGAACTACGCCAACCATTTAAAAATGCACAAACTCTTTATGTGTCTACTCTGCGGCAAGACTTTTACTCAGAAAGGCAACCTTCATCGACACATGCGTGTGCATGCCGGCATTAAACCTTTCCAGTGTAAGATCTGTGGGAAAACCTTTTCTCAGAAGTGTTCCTTACAGGATCATCTTAACCTTCACAGTGGAGATAAGCCCCATAAGTGTAACTATTGTGACATGGTTTTTGCACATAAGCCAGTTTTGAGGAAACACCTTAAACAGCTGCATGGCAAAAACAGCTTTGATAATGCCAATGAAAGAAATGTGCAAGACCTCACAGTGGATTTTGATTCTTTTGCATGTACAACAGTCACAGACTCTAAAGGGTGTCAGCCACAGCCTGATGCAACACAGGTCCTGGATGCAGGTAAACTGGCCCAAGCTGTCCTGAACTTAAGGAACGATAGTACTTGTGTGAATTGAGTAGGAGCTTTATGCTCACAACTAGAACTGACTGAAAACGTGGCAATAGTCTGAGTCTTTGTAGGAGTGATTTTGCTAGTTTGACTACTCCAAAGCCTCTGTGCAGGTTGTAGGGGTGAGTCAAAGCACGAACAGACCGGTCGGCTTACCTGGTCTGGCCTTCTTTTGCCCTCTCCTGTTCTCTGTTTTGAGTTATTTATCTGTTGACGTCTATTTTCCTTTCCCAAGGAGTATTCCATTTGTCTACCTGACATTGACTTATGTGTGGGATTGACACTATTTTAGGCTTTTCACTGGGCACATTCTGAAGGTACCAACACGTTAATAACTTTACCTTTTCTCTACTTGGATGCTTTTAGCTCTGCTAAAAGAAGTGAATAATATTTTTCTTTGGCAGAAAATAGGCTGATATGTAAGATGGTATTGCTGTTGGCCTGAATATGTGATAGAACTTCTGGTTGCCAATTGATAATTCATGTTTGATTAATGAATGAATCTACTTCCCACCATTTGTACTTGTCTTAGAGACGGCTATAAAGTATTTTGTTGTTCTGTACTCTTTCAACAGTATTTAGGGCCCAACTTCATGTCATTGAATTGTTCCCATAGACCAGAGTACAATCTTTTCATCAGCACCTGCAGACACATTGTTAAGGGTCACCACGAGGAGCATAAATCAACGAAGGATCGAAGTCCAGTTATACAACAGTACTTACATAGTGGGTTTTCCCAAAGAGAATCCAAATGTTGTAATTAATGTGTAATTGACTGATGTTTTTGACGTTAGGATTGCTCCAAAAACACTTAATATATGATAAAGTATGGTGGCTATTTGGGAGTCTCTGGACTCTTAGAGCTTTGTCATCAAAAGGTGAGTTTGGCCTTCAGAGTGTTGTTCAGTGTACTCGACTAGTCTCTCAATTCTCATTTCCTCATGTACTTAGTTTCCAAAATGTTTGGAAAAAATGGATCCCACAAAGAGCAGTCAGACTGTTGCATTCAGGTATTCCTATAAAAGTACACAGTCCCACCTTGCCACCTTTGATAAATTGCTAATAAAAATTGATCTTCCAGTATGGAAAAAAAAAAAAGTTTTTCCTAAAGCACATGTTATAATTCAGAAATAAAGTTCTGAGTCTTACTAGTTCTGATCCACGAGTTAGATTTAGGTAATAGAAATGTTAGAGTCCTTAGAAATGCCTTTTAAGTTGGGGTATCCCAAGGCCATAGAGGTGGCCTGGCCACAGTTGCCCAAGTAGATAGGACTAAATATGAGCTAATGTCTCCTCACTTCTCACTAGCCCTTGACTTAAGTAAATTTAGTACATGGTCAAGAATAATACATTAGCAAAAATTTCCCAGTTTATGACTTGCCTTTGTGAATCCCTGTTGGCTTTTTGGAGACAGCCTGGATTTTGCAAACAAAGTATCACAGAAGAATTTATTTATATTATTTAATTTGGGGGGAGGGGTTTAGAAGGAATATTAAATTCTTCCCAAACAAGTGACTGATTTGCTGGGTGTTGGTCAGGGAGGGAGAAGATGAGTCAGAATAATGTGAAAATGATCCAAATGTGAAGCTGATTTTGTCTGAAAATAGTGTTTACTTAGTTTCCATCAGAATTTTCTGTTTTTATTTTTGAGCTATGAGAGCACTTGTACAAATAAACCAAAAATTAGGTGTAACTTATTTAGTCAGAATGTTTTAAATTGTTATAATTTGATGCATTTAGATGTGATTCTGATTTGAGATAAAATTTCAACCTTTTGTTAAAAGATTCGAAATGAAAAAGAAAACAATTGAGTGATAAGACTAATAGATATCTGATGCCCAGTGCCACTTATTATATGGTCTAAAGATGTTTCATAGCATTCTGATTTTTTTATTATCCAGCCAAAGAGTACCAAGTCTATGCAACAGTGAGACACTAACATGTTAAACCAACGTTTCACGATTTTCTCTCACATCATTACATCGCAGGGAAATTTCAAGTTTGAGTGCTTCCTTTGCTTACATTCATGTCCAGTTTTTGTTACTGGTTTGAAGACTAAAAGGCATGAGTTCAAATAAGATTGGTCTCTTTGGTTGGAGACTATTTCTGGGTTTATTCAGTCGTTCAAGAACCAGATATTGAGCACCTCCTGTTGCCAGCCACTATGCTAGATACAGAGGATATGAAGGTAAGATCGCTATGGTCCCTGTCCTCACAAAACTTACAGTCTCATGTGGTCTTAGTGAGATAAGGTGTCAACTTGATTTTATACTAGGAATAGTAAAACTACCTTGCTTTCTTTGATCACTTAAAGTCAGCATCTTGATGGTTTTGTATCAGTAAAACGTATAGTTGTCACCTTTGCAACTGCAAACCACTGAAGTGATTTACAGACTCCTCCACTTCTTGACTGGAAAAATGTTCTGTTTCTGTGACACATTTTCTTAAAGTTGGGAGGACTTGACATGTTAAGATTGTATTGCAAAGTGGTCAAGTTAATGATATCAGGTGTTTTATAGGGGAAGATGACTTTCAAAACTAGTCATATTCCTATAGAGGAGGATTTTTTAAAATTTTAGTTCATTCAGGATTTATGTTTTATGGATTCCCAGAATAAGTAAAAGGGAGAGAGGACTCTCTTTACCATAGTCTGTTGTTGTTGTTTTTTTTAATTACTTTGTCACAGTTATTTATTATTTCATTTTAAAGACAAACTCCAATCTGAAGTGGCTCTGAGGTAAATCGGATGTGGTTTTGTTTATGGTTTTGAAGATCCATAAATGGAGGTGACCGGTGCCACTGCTTCTAAAATATTGTCCTAAATAAACAACCCAGAACATTTCATTTCAGCTGGTGAATAGCTGTTCTAAATCTGTTGTATGTTAGACATACTATGAACTACCTCTTCACTTATTATGGGGAAGTTTCCTTAATAAAAGTGTCACAGTTAAACCTCTGGTGTCAGTGGTTTATTTTCTCTCTCCTTACCAGTTTTTCTTTTCAATTGCTTAAATTTGAATACAGGAATACCTTCACTCCTATTCTTTATGACACATACTAATCAAGCGCGCTGAGTTAGAAGAAAATCTGACTTAACCAGAATTGTTACTAGGGTCAGTTACTTCCATGAGAACCTGTTGACTGAAGGGTAGAGTAGCTGCTTTTTAAGAATTGAGTCAGACCTTTCCTTCTTTGACAAGAACTTGATGCCTGCCAAGTGCCAGGCTTTGGGGACTGCTGAGATCAGTACGCTGTGAGTCCACCTAGGTGGGACTCAGGTTTTAATACAGGTGTGAAAATGAAGGTAACCAAAGGGATGCCAGGTCCCAAATGGGAGCCAGTGAATCCAGGGGTAGTTGGGGATGTTTTCAGAGAAGATGGAATTTATAAAAGTCATTTTGAAGGGTGAGAGGAAGGCCAACAGTTTATATTGAAGACCTGAATTTGCCTGGGAACTTGCGGAGAGGGAGGAGGGTGGAGGGGCGATAGATCCAGTGAAGCAAGACCCACATCTTGATGGAACATTAGGCCGGGTGGACCAGTGATGCTCAGGGCAGTCTCCTCCCCACCGCCAGCTTCCGAAGGCAGACGGCCTGCCAAGGCGAGGCCCCGGCCCACAGTAATCCTAGGCGGCCGTCCAGGGATCCTGGCCCCGGGCACTCTGACAGTGCGCTGCGCCCCGCCTGCCCCCCTGTGGGATCCGGGCTTCTGGGAAACCAGGGACAGCAGAGGCGCGGGCGGCCCGAGCTGGGGTAGGGGTAGGGTAGGGGCGGGGGCAGCGAGGAAGGGAGGGTGGCTCGGATGTCCTTCCGGGGCGCCTGCCGCCCCAGGGGGGAATGAAGCTAGTTGACACCGGATGTGTTTCCTTCCTCGGGCCTGGGCCGCCACTGCCGTGCGAGCTGGGCTCTGGTCCTCCGGGTCGGTGAGTGAGCGCGCTCAGCCTCGGGCAGGTGGGGGAGCAGCCGCAGGAGGAGGGCGGCGGCGAGCGGCCCGACCGGTGCTGCAACCGCCTGGCAGCAGGGCCCGGCCTGGGCATTGGCTGGCTGGACGCGGAAAGACCTGTGCGGCGAGCTGGGCTTCTCCCGGGTCACCTGGGTCCGAATTCAGTTCAACAGTTGTCACCTCGCGACTCCTGCTCTGTGCAGCCCCTGTGCTCGCTGCAGGACTCAGAGGAACCAGGCACCATTTTGAGGTGCACTGGGAGCCGCCGACTCCATGGGGGACACAGGAGGAGTCAAAGTCTTAATTTTATTTGGGCCTTAAAAGAGCCCAAATCACTGCCCGAAAAAAGGACCTGGAAGCGCGAATGTCACACGAGCAAAGGTGTATTCGGGTCTTTGTGTCTGAGCAAAGGTGAAAATCCAAAGACTGAAGAAGTGTCGAGTGAAAAAAGGGACAAAAATAAAACGTTAAAGGTGGTTAGGACCAAATCGTGAATGATCTTCTAGTTACTAGGGAGTGTAGGTTGTTCTGGAGGTACAGGAGAACAATAGAGGGTTTTAAATAGAAGAGAGTATTCTTAAGTTTTTAAAGAGTTGTTCCTTGGAATGCCACTCAGGAGGATAACTGGGAATATAGATGAGTGTGGTATCAAGGAACAGGTTGGAAGACATGGCCGTGGTCCAGGTGAACAGAATGTGCACCTGCAGCAGTGATGGGTGTAGGAAGTTTGGAGATTACATTAAGGTTTCTAAATTGAGATACTATGTTAAATCTATTTAGGCTGAGCATGATCACTGTCTTAGACCACAAGGCAACAGCATTTAGCCAAGGAAACAAACACAGAAACTGTTAAGTACAATGCAATATAATGAAAAATAGGACCCAAGTTCATAGCAAAATGCATTTTAAATTTTCTGGATTTTGAGATGGCAGTATAAGGTTTCACTGTCAGTAACCAGATTAGAACTGGAGTCTTTTACCCAGTTCAGGTTTAGGATTTTTTCATGTGCTTTTACTGTGAACAGAATAGGGTAGCATTTCCTGTTCTCACATCAATGTTTGTGTTTTATTTTGCTTAGATTGTGACCATGGCTGCTGAGTCTGATGTTCTGCACTTCCAGTTTGAACAGCAAGGAGATGTAGTCTTGCAGAAAATGAATCTCTTGAGACAGCAGAATTTATTTTGTGATGTGTCGATTTATATCAATGACACAGAATTCCAGGGGCACAAGGTGATTTTAGCTGCTTGCTCCACTTTCATGAGAGATCAGTTTCTACTCACGCAGTCGAAACATGTCAGAATCACCATCTTGCAGAGTGCAGAAGTTGGCAGAAAATTGTTGCTCTCTTGCTATACTGGAGCACTTGAAGTTAAAAGGAAAGAACTTTTGAAATATTTGACTGCTGCTAGTTATCTTCAGATGGTTCACATTGTGGAAAAATGCACAGAAGCTTTGTCAAAGTATCTGGAGATTGATCTTTCTATGAAAAACAATCAACATGCTGACCTCTGTCAATCCTCTGATCTCGATGTTAAGAATGAAGAAGAAAATTCAGATAAAGACTGTGAGATAATTGAAATTTCAGAAGATAGTCCTGTAAACATAGATTTCCACGTTAAAGAAGAGGAAAGCAGTGCTTTGCAGTCTACAGTGGAGAGCTTGACATCAGAGAGAAAGGAGATGAAGTCACCAGAGCTGTCATCCGTAGATATAGGTTTTAAAGACAATGAAATTTGTATCCTCCATGTGGAGTCTATCAGCACCGCTGGTGTAGAAAATGGGCAGTTTTCACAGCCTTGTACCTCTTCCAAAGCAAGCATGTATTTTTCTGAAACACAGCATTCATTGATCAATTCCACGGTTGAGAGCAGAATGGCAGAAGTCCCTGGGAATCAAGATCAGGGTTTATTTTGTGAAAACACTGAAGGAGGTCATGGTGCGGTAAACGAGCTTCAGAATCTGGAGGATGCTTACTCGCTCAGACACCAGTGCCCCAGGTGTCCTCGAGGATTTCTGCACGTGGAAAACTATCTGCGCCACCTGAAGATGCATAAACTGTTCTTGTGCTTGCAGTGCGGAAAAACATTTACACAGAAGAAAAACCTCAACCGGCACATTCGAGGGCACATGGGTATCCGGCCCTTTCAGTGTACTGTGTGCTTGAAGACATTTACTGCTAAAAGCACACTTCAGGACCACTTGAACATACACAGTGGGGACCGACCATACAAATGCCACTGCTGTGACATGGATTTCAAGCACAAATCTGCCCTCAAAAAGCACTTAACCTCTGTCCATGGCAGAAGTAGTGCTGAAAAACTACCAAGGCATGATCTCAAAAGGCAAAATCTATTATAATTAGAATCACACCTTGCTGTGTAAGTCTTATAGCATTCTGTTAGGCAAATCTTTCTTTAGAAATGCAGCATTTGTAATATTGCATTTCCCCTCATCCCCCAGCTTTGGGTCTTATTTTTGGTATACCCACAAGTTATTCTTTCTGAACTTCTACTACCAGTTCCGAAGTTGGGGGAGACATAAGGCTGATGGGATTCTGTCTCATCCCCTGCGTTATGTGTAAGTCCAAGGGGTATACCTAGAGAAATGTTTCTCGCCTAAATATTTTTGAATCTAGTGAAAAAGGATCCAGCAGTATTTCCAGATTCTGTTTTGAGTCTAGACTGATAGAAGTGTAAAGTGTAACCATATCCTAATTAGTGAATCAGGATGAGAAACTAAATTTTAAAACACTGTTGGCCATTATTAGTCACTTTAGAAACAGGTGGTCTAATGGATATTTTTTTAACTGTTACTGGATTCGGAAGCAAACATCAAGATACCAGTTGTTTTAAATTGCTAAGAAACACAGTTCAAATTCACTTGGGAGTTTTCTCATCTTTGGGCCAATATTCCTTAAAATTTTCATTAGTTGTTTGCAAACATATTTTGGAAACAAATGATTGGACCCACATTTCTTGATTTTATTTAGTACAATTTCATTTAATAATTTTGTGTCCAATAAAATTATGTCATTGGCATACAGCTCTGAAAAATGACTTCTTACGAATCCCAATTTTACCAAAGATTTTTGTCATACTGTTCACTTTTTAAAAAAATTATTTTACTTTTTAGTTAATATCTAGTAAAATTGACCTTGTTTTGAGTGTACAGTTCTGTGAATGTTAATACATGTATAGATTTATGCAGTCACCACTGCAGTCAAGATAGAGAACATTCCACCACCTTCTAAAACAAAAACTTCATGGTACCTCTTTGCAGTCAACTCCTCCTTACTTAAACCCTGGCAAGAGTTCTTCATTGTTATAATTTTGCCTTTTGTGCACTGTCATAAGTAGAATCTTAAATAGTGTGTTCCCTTTCAAGAAGCTTTTTTTTCTCCCAGTATAATGCCTTTGGGATTTGACCATTTTGTGGTATATATCAGTAGTTCATTCCCTTTTTCATTTTGAATTGGCAATGTCTGTTGATTTTCTTGTCACTAGATGAACAGTTTAAAAATAGGAAGTTATTAGCTTTTTCTTACTTATTAAGAGCTTTTTTCATTTGTATTAACACAGCTTTCATTTCCTAGTTTGTTAACAAAAATCCTAGTTTCCCCTGGAGTTACATTCTGTGTTTCCAGAAATGTGCCAAAAGCAAAACCATGATTGATGGTTATTTTAATGAGAGTACTATTTCAGATTGTGTTATGAGCCGTGCTCTCTAATGTCTCTGTCTGCATATAAACCAAAACTTTGGTTATTGTCGTAACAGAAATTGTTATATATTGCAGGGCAAATTCTATTCTCCAAAACGCAGAAACAGTTAGTAAAGAAGCCACACTGGATGCATGTTACTTTCAAGACACTCTGTTTCTCCTCTGCTCACCTCTGCTCTATGTAGAATTTCTGCTGTGTTTGTTTCTCTTGAAGCACTTCCCTATTTTCAAATATAGTAAGACTTTGTACCATTTATAAGAATTTTGTGATGAATCACACATTGTTATAAATGTTAAATATTCTTTTTGTGATACTTTTGTGTACAATATATTCTCCGTAGAATTTTAACTCTGGGAGATATTTTAAAGAATCAGCTCTCATATTTAGTAAGAAAAATGTCTTCATAACCGGAGTTAGTGACATTGGGCAGGTCACCTCTCCTTGATCTTCTTATAAATTTATATTTAAAATAAAAACTTTGATCTTGATAATTTGTAAACTCATTTCCAGGTCTAAAATTCTATGATTTTATACTCAGATCTTCCTGGGTTCCTAAGAACAGAGAAGAGGGGAAAGCAAGAGAGGAGAGTTTTGTATCTTTATGAATGTTGCTATTGAGTGCTCCATTAGAGAAGGAATTTTTCTAAATAGTGTTTTTCTTCCAATGGAGAAAGTGATAGCATTTTATTTTATTTTCCATTTGACCTATGATTGGCCATTTGTAGGCATGAAAATATTCCCCTTTCAGAAATAGTTTGTGATTGAAGTACTTATTTTTGCTTGCTAGGATGAAAGTTCATGGAGAAAGGGTGGGGAGGGGAGGGTAAACAAATAGTAATAAACTTTTTTTAGGAATTGGTATATATCTTTGATTTTTTTTTGAAAAAAATTATGGTTGAACTATGTTTAAGTATTATGTGTGCCTTGTCAGATTCTTGTGAAATTTTTCGTAAGCACTTTGAGATTTTTGCTTGGGGGGAAGGGGTGTTTTGTGAAAGTGACAGTTGTTATTTATTATTATTTATTCCTGTTCGGTAGCACAGAGTGATCTCAAAACATTCCTAGGAGAGTGTCTGTTTGCATGATGTGTTTAAACAATTTCAGGAAAGTGGAATCTTTTTTTAATTCAAGTAAGGAAAAGTAAAGTGTCAAATTTATTCATTTGTAAAGTTCACTTTGAGTTTGTGTTTCTGATATGATGGGGAAAAATGCAATACATTTGAGTTCAGCCTCTTCATTTACTGCATTTATGTACAAAATATCTTGGAAAGATAGTTGTTACTTTGGTGTAAGAAAATCCTTACCCTTTTTCCCTTGGATGTAACGATCCTTTGTGTTTACATAAGAATAAACTGGAGATGGGAATTGAAATTTGTGTTTTGTCTCCATCTGGGAATTTTAAAGAAAACTTTCTCTCCCTATTTGTTTCATTATTGAACAGATCTTTGTTGAGTTCCTACAACATATTCACCTATACTGGAAATTACATATATAGTCAAAATACCTGCTCATGAAATTTGTATTTTAGTGGGGAGAGATAACACTAAACTAATAACTCAAATGGATATGCCAGATTTTAATAATGGAATTGGAGAAAATAAAGCAGGGATAGGGCATGCCAGGGAAGGGGGATTGTAATTTTATATATGGTGATCAGACCAGCTTTGATGAAACTTTGTATCCTAAAGGACAGATTTATTATAAGAAGGAAGAGAAGGATGATTGCACTGACACATTGGGCAGAAAGAGCTGCCCCTGAAAGGGGTAAGTTTTTTAAGGAGGCCGCATAGGCACAAGTGGGCAGGAGAGTTGCTACCAGCTTTGGTAAAACTTAATGGGATTATAGACTACTTTTCAGTGGAATGAAACTATATATGTAGGTATCTTCACCACTATCTGGTTGAGTGGAAAACAAACCAGGAACACTGTTGGGAAACTCTTAAATTGGCATGTATTTTATGAAGAAAAAGAATGAAAAGGATAAAAATGCATGGCAGAAGTCTGGTGACAAATGAATATTTTTCAAGACATTGACGTTCGTATACTATTTCCTGTCATACAAGCAGTAGTAACCATATATATTTTTTAAAGATTTATTTATGCATACAAGAGCTGGGATACAGGCCAGAGATGGGGGTGGTTAGAGGATTCACCAGAGACAAGAGTGGGGAACAGAACAGTTGAACTGAAATACACTGCTGAGGGGAGCAGCAGGAGAGAAAGTTGAGGTCTGCAGCATTATGTGGATAGCTCCCTGGCCGTCCAGGGATCGAACTCGTGCTGCAGAGCCTGCCAATTGCTTCATAGTGCGGTGCTTTACCCCTTGCGCCACCAGGGAGGCTCCCTTAACCGTATTTTTTAAAGGTTAATTTACAAATTTTTCTATATCGCTTCTAATTCTAATTCCTGGTGGGTTTACTTCTGTAGATGCTTTTGTTAGACATCTGGGTATCTGGGTTCAGATTGGAAAATATCTTGAGTTTGATTAGTTTATGACCTTTTTCTTAACCTGTGCTTTTCAGTTTTCCATGAGTACCAAATACATGGCTTCTGCCTTTTTGGATTATTTTGATGAGCAAATGACATATAAACAAAACAAACAGTAAAAATGAATTTTTTTCACTTAACCCTCCTTGATAACTTCATACTTAGTAAGCAGCCCATAAACCTTCATTCCCTTATCTCTGTTCCCAGTCTCTTTATCTAGAAACACAATAAGGATAATTTCCACCTTACAGTTTACTGTGAAAAATCCTTCAATAAATGTGAGATTTTAACCTCAGAATTCGTGCTTTCCGGCTTCTGAGGACGCGGTTTTCTTTTTAATAACTGTCAGAGCCTGTTTTTTTTTTTTTTTTTTAAATGGGGAGATTACTTGAACCTATGCGGGTGAACTGAGATTGGGTCAGCAGTTTACTACGGAGCATGAAGTAGACTATAATACGTCGGCATCAGCTCCTGCTCAATGGCTAGCGACCACGCTTTGTAAGAGTCAGACTCGACGCAAACGAGCGCCCAGGAGGCGGCCTCAAGGCGCAGATGAAAGCGCACGGAGTTTCCCATCATCCCCTTCGCCCGGTCTGGGCCGCCCAACAGCGCCTCCCACAGTGCTCCGGGGCTCGCAAGTCACGTGCAGAGGGTGGGCCGGCTCCCCCAGCGCCCAGCTGATGCGCAGTCCAGGCGGCGGGGGTTACTACGCTCTTCTGCCACCGCCCCAACTCCCGGTCTTGCGTGATCTCGCGTGAAGCGGGGAGTATCTTCTCGCGAGAGCCGGGTCGGGATCCCTCCAGGTCCGCCTCCGTGGTGAGGAGGAGGTGGAGGCGGAGGAGGAGGAGTAGGAGGAGGAGGCGGAGGGAGGAGGAGGCCCCGTCGCGGCCTCCGCCGCCGCCAACGGGGCTGTCCCTGTAGCTCCCGATGGAGTTTGAGGTCGTGAAACCGCCGCCGAGCTCTGCCCCGGCGAGACGAGGCGCCTCCGTCGCCGAGCCGCGCCGTCGCGGGGCTCCCGGGAGCGGCCCTTAGCGACCCCGCCCGGGCCCCTCAGGTAGGGCGGGGGCGGGCGCGCTGCGGCTCGGGCCCCGGCCGGGTGCGGGTCCCCGCGGGCGGGCGGGCGGGCGGGCGGGAGGCCGGTGCCGGCGGGGCCTGTCCGCGGGCGCCCGGCGCCGGGGTGGGCGCCGAGGCCGCCCCTGCCGCCCGGCCGCGGCCCGGGGAACGGCCCCCAGCGGGCCCCGCGCCCCCGAGGGCTCCCCAGCCGGCGCCCGCGGCCGCCACCCCTCGCCGCCGCCGCGGGGACGCGGCTGCGCCCGGGCCCTCCGGCCAGGCCAGACTTCCTCCCGGGCCCGGGCCCGCCGCCGGGGGAGAGGCCGGCCCCCCGAGCCCGCTCCCCGGCTCTCCCGTGCTCTGCCCGGGGCTCCCCGCGACCCCAGCGCCGGGCTGGTGGACGCAGAGGGGGAGCCGGGGAGCCCGAGCAGACAATGCCCGGGGAGGGCTTCGCCCCGGGGGGATGGCGCGGCCGGCGCTGCGCCCTGCAAGCGACCGGGCCGCGGCGTGAGCGCAGCCGGGGGTTCTGCTCCGGCTCGCCGCTTTCCTCCCCTCCTTTTTCCTTGTCGGGGAAGCCTCCTAAGGAGACTCTTCCACCATCTTAGAAGAATGGGAGAAAGCATCTTTGTTTTCAGAGCAGCAGCTCTACTTTTCGCTGCCCCTGGCTCTCCGGAGGGGACAGGCTGGAGATAGCTGTCATTTCCAGCCTCGGAATCACAGGAGAGTTTAAGATGCCGGCAGACAGAACTTTGACACCCAAATCCTCCCGAGTGATCACTAGCTTGAAGTCGATCCGATCCTGTGATTCCCAGCCCGTTCTGTGTTTTAAATTGCCACCCAGGTTCACACTTTGAATGCTACTTTCCCCCCTACCCTTCGGCTCTTTCTTGTTCGTGGCTCCTTCCCTTCCCCCATTTGCTGTTATTCGAATGACTTTGGATCACGAATCAAGTATTTAAGTCATCTTTTTTTTTTTCCCCCCAATTTTGCATTAGTCAAAGTTTTAAGCTTAATGGGAACTTTCGAGTAACCCAGGAAAGCTCAGGTTGCCATACTAAATGGATAAAATTTCACCCGAAAGCAAAGAAACAAATGTTTTAGTCTGTGCGGCTTTTTATAGTTAAATATACAAATTTATTCAGGCTTTGAGACTTAAAGAAGCGTTAACAGAGTCCCTCATTATTACCTTCTTTTATCTGAAAAACTACAAACATCACACCCCTTTCTATATTGTTTACTTCCACGTTGAGTTATTGAAATAGAATCCATTATGTCCTGTCAAAGACCATTTTTCAGTATTGCCATTTTTCTTGATTTGGAGATTCGTGTTTTCCAAATTTCAGAGTTTGGGAAATTGCTAGAACAAAATATTAAGTATATAATTCCTGACATGTTAAGAAAAGGCAGATGTTAGAATTCAAACTGGCTCCTATTCTTTGAGGATTAATTGCAGTCATGTTCATTAGTGGATCCTTTGAATTACTCCTGATCTGTTATTACTGTTGTGTTAACCTGACATGTAAGAAGACTTATGTCCTTTGTTCATATGTTTCATTAATTCACTCTCTGCTTTGTAGTTTGCTATGTCTTCCAGCTTGAAAAGTTAACAAAAATTCTTTTGGAAGAAAGCATTTTTCTTTACACAGAATTTCATATTTAAATACAGAACTACATTGTATACTATCTAATAGAAAATAAACTTATAACAAGGGCTTTTTGTAATTAGTGTTTGCTTACTGTTTTGTTGGGACTGGGTTGAAGTTTCTCTTTCTAATGATGAAAAAAGGAAGCGTGTGGTAAAATAAAACTAGCTGAGAATTTAAACTATTTTAGTATTTTGCATCCAGTCTCATGTAACAAATTACATCTTTATAGTCATCAGGGGTCTCTAATTTTATGAAAACCTTCTTAAGAGTAGGGGCGATTTTCACTGCAAATTCTTTATAATAGTTAGATTTGAATGTTGCTTTATAATTTTAAGTGTTCTAGGTTTGGCACTGTTTAGTACTAGCCAGATAGACACTGAACACTAGAAATATGCCTGCCATGAATTGAGATGTGCTGTAAGTGTAAAATACACATGAGATTTCAAAGACTTAGTACAAAATAATTTTAAATTTTTAAGATTTATTTTTATATAAGAACTGGGGTACAGGCTAGAGGCACAGGAGGGTGAGAGGATTCACCAGAGACAGTGGGGAGAACAGGCAGATGGGCCGAAATACACTGCTGAAGGGAGCAGCAGGCTAGACAGGAGAGGTCTGCTGCGCCATGTGGGTATCTTCCTGGCCGGCCAGCAATCGAACCCGTGCTGCAGAGGCTGTGGACAGCTTCACAGTGCTACACTCATCCCGCTGCACCACCCCCCGGGGGCGTGGGGGGGGACGGGGTGTGGGGGTTGCCAATTTTAAATTTTTTATCAATTTTTTGTATTGATTATATGTTGAAATATTTTGGATAAATTGGGCTAAATAAAGTATTAAAGTTAATTTCACCTGTTTTCCCCTTTTCAAATATGACTAGAAATTTTTGAATTACTTGTGGCTCACAGATTTCTTTTGAACAGCATTGTTCTAGAACAGCACTATTCCAAGAAATAAATTATCTGAATAAACTTAGAACCGTGAAAACCAAAAATTGCTGACAGAGTATCCTCTTACAGTCAGAATAATTAAAAATATAATGACATTAGAAATATGAAGGATAAAGTTATCCAGTAGCCATTGTTAGGCACAAGTGAGTAGTTCTGTCTGAAAAATAAGTATTTTCAAGTCCACTGGCCACGAAAGAACCACAACATTTATTGTTACGTAAATTAAAATGGGAGGGCC